TTGAGAAGTGAAATAATCCACAAGTGCTTCAAAAAAGGACACATGGCAAGCTGCATTGGGTCGAGTCAAACGATATGTCTGTGGAGAGGCATTCATTTACACCATTAAAACACAGCTACATATAAGCGTGCATGCGTTGGAGCTTTTATAAGACAAATTATAAATTTATAAAACACAAACAGGGCCGAATTTGCTCTGGTGTCTGCCATGTATCATTTTTTTTGGCTTCGGCCAATGTCGGGTGAGTCTGAAATATTTTATTAGCATTTTAATAGGAGGGAAAATTGCAGGACGCTGGGCTGGTTTCCCAAAGTTATGTTGACGCAGCTTGCTGTTATTGTTGTTGCTGTTTTTTTTTTTTCTAGATTGATTGTACAGAGAAACATAAGCTGATGTGATACCGTCACATGAAGCGTGTGCAAACTGAGCTGAACGGAATAAAAACCAGCACACCGGTTTGGCAATGAACTTTGCTGTGAGGACCTGGCTCTTTATGGCACAATGGATCCAATGACTCACTGACAGTAACTTTCAACACACAATGCTGTTGCTGCTGATGTGCCGTTATTCTCTCCAGAACAGAAAAGAAAAAAGAAACACAACAGTGAAGACATCATATAGACAGCACGATCAATACTGACCTGGATAAGAGGATGCTTAATTTCACTTCTCTTTTTCTGTTGCTTTGAATTTTCACAACTTAACTGGCATCCACACATCTCTTGTAAGCAACAGTATCTTTATATATATTTATATATATTTCTTTTTTTTTTTTTTAGAAAACTCTAGTAGATATTCACAGTTGCTTGACCGAATGGCAAAAATACCCATGAAGTCTAAAACTGCTGGTTTAGTTGTCTAAAACATGGATGCCAAGAAGTTCTTTTAAGTACTGGAGGTTCACTGTCATCAGAGACTATTTGACGCGTTTCAAAGTGTAAAAAATATCTTGCAGCGTGTTGCCTTTGAGCGTTAACACACACAAATTCATACGTACAACCATTCATTTTCTTGTATATATAGAGAGAGATAGATCTGTAGTAATATGGAACAGTGGCGACACCTTCGATTACATCTGAAGGCGCCATGCGACGCACGTTTTCACAAATTCATTGTGATGGAAGAAATTCGGTTTCTGTCAGTGGACGCCCCCTTGGAGAGCGTTCAAATGAAATTCTGTACAGTAAAACAGCACACATAAAATCAAGAGGACATTAAAATAAAAAAATATCCCACGCTGATTGTGATGTTTTAAAATGTTATACAATTCTTTGTTTTTTTTATTATCCTAGAAAGAGAAGCAGGAATGCTGCCTGCATCCCCTCTTCTCAGTCTTCCCACACTACACAGTAGTTTCATTCTTCCAGGGTCCAGTGCGTATATTTCCTGTGCTGTCTGACGTGTAGAGGAGACCCTCGTGCAGGCTCCCTTTTAGAATCCCGTTCTGATTGGGCGGGTTCTGAGGGTAAGATTGTCTGCGCGGGGCGTGCATTTCCAAATGGTGATGTGTTGCCACGGGGTCCTCCTCAGCCACTTTGCCGCAGCCGCACAGGAAGACGCCCGTGTCTCCTGCTTCTGCCGGGCACAGAGAAGGGAAAAGGTCTGCCTTGGCACAGCAGATGTGCCTGTGGCAGGGATTATGGCATGCCAGGGACTCTGCAGCAGCGTGGCATGTGTGATGCACGTCATGGTGGCCTTCGTGGGCCAGGTGTGGACAGATGTGGGCGTGACGCTCGTGTGTGCTGTGGGGGCTGTCAGTGTGTAAGCTGTGCACGCTGCCTCCATCCACACTAGAGGGGATGTGATAGGCGTACTCCCTCTCACTCCCCGCTCCACAAGCACCGGCCCCATCCCTGCGGCTGAGATGTCGGCCTTTAGTCCTGGCACTGCTCTTTAGGCAGGGGTGCAACTGGATCCCCGGCCGGTAACCCTCCGGGTCAGCGTGCAGCAGCACATGCGTGGCCGCGGGCTCTTCTTCCATAAGCTGCTGGCTGTGCAGCGCGGCACAGCACGGCGTCACTGGCGCTAGACACGTCATGTGATTTTGTGAGGAAGGAAGGGCAGCGTGTTTACAGTGAGCTAAGCTGCCATGGCCGCAGCTTAGAGCTTTAGCCTGACAAGGTGAGTCATGGTGGCAGTGGCTGTGGCCGTGGCCGTGCCCGGGGGTATCTCCGTTCACGTTGACTTTGGGCCGCGTTTGAGCGGGCGCGGGGGCACCAGAGGAGGCGTCGGCGCTTCGTCCAGGACAGCAGGAACACCAGCAATGCCAAACATCGTCCCGCTTGGCACAGTGATGGATGAGGACAAAGAGGCCGAGGGTGACGGAGAAGGCACCATAAAGGCAGCTGAAGATCATGTCCAGGAAGTGGCCCTGTGACACAGCCAGTGCCCCAAAAGTCCAGGTTGCCAGAAAGAGGAAAAGGGTGAAGGCCGCTGTTCTTAACTGAGCCTTGAAGGAGTGCTCGTTGGCCAGCAGCGCGGGGTTGATGGGAATGCCAGGGCAGCCGGCGGGGCAGTGGCTCCCGCTGGGCGGTGGAGCCAGGGCTCCGGGCTCGGCTCCCTGGTGGCAGTGTGTCGGCACATCGACAGCAGCCAGCCTCTGCTGCTCCTCCGTCAGTTGCTTGAGCTCGTACTTCTTTTCAGGGTGTCGCCGTAGCTGGATGAAAGTGCAGAGGAAGTAGATGCATGTGACCAGGACGATGAAAGCTACAGGGCCAAAGAACGCTCCCAGACTGGGCTCCCACGCCATCCAGCAGCTGCAACACACACACACACACACACAAACACACCACTGCACTTTAATACCTTAAGAAATACGGAACAATTAAAAGTTTACTTTCTGTTTGTAATTAAATGGTTACTTTCATAAAGTCACATCATCTTTATGTGTTTACTGAGAAGAGAGTAACTAAATGAAATACACATCCACCAAAGGGAGCTTAAAGCGCACAAAGCGAGGATAGTGTATGCTTGTGTCTATGTATACACACGTCTAACAGCGTTTAAAGAAGATTAAATCAAATTTAATTTCTGGGAATTAAATAAAAACAAAAAACTCTTTATTTGCATAACAATGTGAAACATCATCACAGCCTGACTCAAGAAGAAGGAAATCTAGGACTTACTACAGCGCTTGCTCCCTGCTGCCATAGTTGTCTATATTGACAGCTGCCGTGACCCCGCAGATGATGAGGGGCACTCCACCGCTGACTAGATAAAATCTTTGAGGGTATGGTTGGGGGGGGTGGGGTAAAAAGAGAGAGCGAGACAGGGTCAGTAGGCAAGAATATCAAAGTTGGAAGTGAAAAGACATTTACAAATCCTGTGTCACACATGTGGATTATAAAAATACACTTTTTATAATCACATCTTTAGGAAGATTAAAAAAGCTGTCAAAGAAGGTGACGGATGAAAGATGCTGACTTGTCCTGTGAATGGACTGGTTACCACAGCAGATGGACACACACATTTGATTTGGCAGCTTTTTTCTTTTTCTTTTAAACACCACGTGGCATCGCTCAAGCAACCCCCTGAGAATTTGTCTCTCCTCTTGGGAAAGCTTTTCTGTTTTGGGACAAATGTGTTAACCACTACAGTATGGAGCCACTGGTGAATGCAGCTTTATGAGTGTCTTAAAATAAATGAATGAACAAAGATCACTGTGCCTGTGACCACACTCCATGGGAGGAATCGCCACCTACAATTTGTTTTCTTTGCCACAAATCAAAGTGTAAATTTTCCTATATAAACAAATCTGTTTTCCCGGCGATAAACTTGTCAGTGCTCATTTAGGGCTATTCATCAGAGCACCGAATATGGAAAGAGAGTGCGGATTTAATAGGAAAGGGATGGCGGACTTATCAAAACTGGCTTATCAGACATACAGAAAACGGATTGTATCCTCGACTTCAGCTTTCATTATCATAAAGAGGGCAGGTCACTTAATAGACAAAATGAAAAAAACACTACACAACAATGAAGGACAGAGTTATACAGCTAAGTGGCACTTATTTTAGCTTTCATAGCAACAACCCCAGAAATACAGCATTCGCGTTAAGTTGTAAGCCACCAAGAAATTTAGCAGAACTACCTTTAATTTTAACATTTGTTTTAAGTGAATTAGCTCTGACCTCACTTGCCAACATAGCTGTTGTAATGGCGGTTTATCCAATTAAATCAAGACTATATAAGGCTAGCTGGAGAAAAAAAACAAACACAATAATATCAATGGGAGAAAGATGTGAAGCGGAACTAATAAAGTATGATCTTAACAACAGTGCATTATGCCCCTAGGTATTACCATGTTTAGTTCTGTTTACTTTGTGCCGGATTAAATGTTCTCAAGGATGATATTCTCATGTTAACCGCAGATTATTCGGTGCTTTTTTTCCCTCTCCCTGATCTTTAGCATGTCAGCTACACTTATGCATGCGCGCAGCAGGTATGTGAACCATGAAACTTGCATTGCAACAGTATATTACGATAAGACTTCAGCGCAGAAACAAAGCTAATCCCCCAGCAGCTTCCTGTCCTTGGCTTTCCCTCCACTGTCATGCTATACAACAGTATGCTATTTCCTCTTCCTTCCTGTTCAATCTTAGCCTCTGTCATTACTCTAACCTTTCCACCACTCCATCTTCCTCCGTCTTCATCCTCAGTTTCCTCCCTTCCACCCCTTCTTACTGTGGCTCTCTCTCTCTCTGTCGCTCCCCCTTCCAATCGTTACTCCGTCACACAGCAGCCGTTCTGAAAATTCAATTACAATCAAGATGTTTGTCTGGGCTGGTCGGTGAGGGGTGGCTGGAGGTGAGGCAAAGACAGGGGGGTTTCGGGGGTGGGGGGCATTACTGGCCTGTCACTGTCTGTGTGAGTGGAACGGTTCTCCCGGGGGACCCTGCTCCAGCAGAAAGCCATTTACACACCCGTCAGCTAGATAAGCATAAATGAGAAGAGCTACTAGATGTTAAAGCACCCAGCACTTTATAACCCTCATTCCCCTTTTATCCCTTCTAGGAAAGCCAGCATGTGTTTCCTTAAGACGTGGTCCCAAGTGAAGCACATGTACAGTACATGCAGAAACTGTATCGAGAGCATGTGATATAGTTCAGTCTACTTGCTGCCTCGTTTTTATTTGAAAAGGTCTACCGCAAGCCTATTCAAATGGCGGCCCGCGGGCCAAATGCGGCCCAGAAGCAACCTGCGAGTGGCCCTGCCTGTGGTTCTGGCAGAAACACAGAGAAAACGCAAAAAATTAATTCATTAATTAATTAAAAAAAATTTAAAATTCCTACAGCGTAGTGTAGACTATGAATGCAACACTCCTAGTAGCCTAGCAATATTTAACCCACAATGCACCGTGATGTAAACATATTAAACAATCATCGTAATATATGATGCGACAACAGCATGTCTTTCTCACTCCAAAAGCGCAAAATTGACAATGAAAACTGTCGGTTTAACCCTGCCTGGACTGACAAATACTTATTCATTTTACCGAGTTTAATAATCTTACAACCGGAGTTGTACTACCATGGTGAGGGTCATGTACAGCCCAAGAGAGAGCTGCAGCATCTTCCCTTCCTGTTTGCTTCTTGGCGAAGAAGAAAAGGCCTTTCACAGATTCTGAAACAGTGAAATACTGCATGCTGGCCGTGGTGGATGCGGTGATAAGTGATGAAAAAATTAAAGTAAGTGTGACATCTGCTATTAAAAACGTACCCCTGTAGGACAGTTCAAATATTTGTAGAGTTGAAGTTCTATATATATATAGCAGGAGATCACAGACAGAACAGAACTGTGCCAGAACTGCACAGTTGTGCGTATATGTCCGTTTTTTGGATGGGAAATTGCTTGGCTTACTACCGTTAGAGGGACACACAGCTGGCGAAATAATGTTTGAGAAGATTTAAGCTCTTTTTGAGGAAAATGGTCTGGATATGAAGCGTGTCTGTATACTTGTGACGGATGGGGCTCCATCCATGGCAGATGAGTGGTCAGCGAAATATTTATTTTAATTTGAAAGGGAATTATCAAAATGTTTTTTGTTATTATTATTATTATTTCAAATGTGCAAAAAATAGTTTAGTTATAGCCTTTTTTTAAATGGACCTTATGGTGTACATTTGTGAGAGGTCACCAGATTTACAGGGGAAAAGGAATAAAAAAATTACTTGTTTTTCAATACAATTGTGTGGATTTGAAATTGATCATGATCTGCTGCTTACTGGCTTCAAAAAAAATATCTGGCCCAGATAAATTCCTCGGTTTGAAAATCTGGCCCAACTAACTTCGTAGTTGAATAGCCATGGTCTACCGCATTAAAATTCTTGCTAATGCACCCATTCTAATATGAATATGCACACAAAATCCTGCCCCCCTTGAATGCACTCATCCTCTTTGTTGGCCAATCTACTTTTTTTTAAAAAGCCTTCAAACTCAAACAAAATGGCTGTGTATGCAATCTTGTGCTTTTGAGTGAGTTTAGGAACAGCAATCATCTGATATAAATAGACCCTAAAGTGCCTTTTAGTCAGTAGCTACAGCAACTCCTCTTTTTGTTCCTATGCTTATGCACTATCTTCTGTTTTTATGACTGTGCACTGTCCTTTCTCTGGACCCTGTCCAGGATATACATAGCACAGCTGGGGACAACTGATGGTCATATTCAGCTCCAGCAGAGGGCAAGGGCTTTGGAGTAAAGCTGGAGGATGGAACATTAAGGCATAAACTTGGCATTAACCACAGTCCTGCAGGTCTGAATTCTCTTTAATGGGCAAAGTAAGCTGAATGAAGTGACAGTTCAACACTTTGGGAAATATACTCATTAGCTTACTTGCCAAGAGTTAAATGCAAAGATTTATGCGAAGATTGATGCCACAGCCAAAAGAAAGCTGTGCCAGCTACCACAGCTTAGCATAAGGATCACAAACAGAATAAAAACAACTCACAAAATAACTCTCAAGCAATATGTCTGTGAAGGTTCTCAGTCATCCAGGTCATCGTAGTCTAAGGAGCTTGGAAAGAAAAGAGTCTGGACGTCTTTAAGTTGCTTGAAGACGTTTCAGCTCTCATCCGAGAAGCTTCTTCAGTTCTAGGGTCAAATGGTGGAGAGTCCCAGATTTAAACCCAGTGGGAGTAACCCCCCAAGAGGGACATAAGGACTCCTAATGATCCTCTACCTAATCACATGAGCCAAGGTGTGAAAACGAGTGTAGGTCACAATTAGTCAATGTTTCGGGTGAGCTCATTGTGAAACCTAGCCCCACCCTATCATGTCCAGATGCTTTTCTTTCCAAGCTCCTTAGACAACACTCAAGCAAAAACTCTGAAAAGTCTATATTAATTTCAAGTAGTCTATTTCAAAGAAAGATGTTCTTCCATATACCATTTTATTTTCTGATACATTTTTCGCTACTTTTATCATGTGACAACAGCTTTGAGACACTGTCACAAATAAGAGGAAGCCTTAAAATCCCCCCTTAATCATAAAACTAACAGAGGACAGAACAAAGTCTGCAAAGCACTTTGTTCAAAGCCTAAAAGAAGCACACACAGAGACTTCTCCAAAAATCACAACACAACTTTATGTAGGTTAAGTGTAGCCGGATTCACTTTGCTCTGAAACTTCACATCTATTAAAAAAAGTGTGGTAGTCTTCTCATTCAAAATAATTATGCCCCAAATGCTGAATTTGATCAAATTCTGGTCAAAATCTTGTCAAAAACAAAAATAAACTTGACTGGTATACACTTTATACCAATCATACTTTCCTTAATGATTAATTATTTGAATAAACAAACATTTGATTTTATTTCAGTTGCAGTTTATTCAAAATTATTGCTTCATATTTATGAAGGCAAAGAATCACTTTTTGTTGGAGATAAAGTATCTGAATCTCAGGAGCGGGACCACGCCTCCAAACACGCTCCTTCCGGCTCTCATCTATATATGTCCCCCCAGGTCTACAAGCCGTAGATCTCGTTTACCTGCCACACCCTCCCTTTCCTTTTCAATTCTTTAACTTCTTCACTTCTATTTAGTACACGGGGATCTGCCACGCCCGGGAGCTGCCACCAGTCCCCTTCGAGGCCTTCCCCAAACTGCAGCTTAATTCATGTCCAAGCTATTCCCCTTTATCTACTAAACCGCTGTCAAACCTCAAATGAGGATGTGGGCCCAGCGAGTGAAAGTGCTCTTTAAACAGTCCATTAATCACCTGCAG